TAGAAACAATCACCCAAGATCTTTATTAACTTTGCTGTAGTTGTATAATTACATTTTAAGGAATATCCGAGTAAAATCTTTAAACAGTTTTTTTCTTCTCGTAATTTAAATTTATTAGTCCCAAAAAGAAATAAACATAAGTAAATTTTGGGAACGAAAATGTCATGGTACTTTCATAGTAAATCGTTAATTATATGATGTTTTTTAACGATTGTATGCCATCGATGAAGTTTGATGCTTTAAATATTTTAGATGTTAGGCTTAAATGATAGGTTGTACTTGTATCTCGATGTACTTAATACTCTTCTGTTGAAAATGTTTTAATTGGGTATTTTGGTGATTCTTAGAGTAATTTTTCAACTGTTTCTCAGTTTTAAAAATATTCAAATATTTCTAAGTGATCATGAACTAAATGCAATGAGATCAAAATTTGAAATTCAAAAGATGTAATCATTTTTAAAGAATTGTCATCCCAACTACAGTACCACGTTTTGTTTTGATTATTAGTGGTCTTTGCTTGAAAGATTTTATAAATACAAACCACTACAATATGAACCACTAGCAAAAAAAGAAAAAAAAGAGGAACAAGAGATCGATTTCAAATATTTCGTAATTTTGTTTAATGAACGAACGTACTCCCAAAATAACAGCCGTTATTATAACCCTTAAATATTTTCAACATTTTTCAAACCTGAAAAAAACAAGTAGGAGCGGAACATTAAGTTTCGAAAATAAATTTTATTTTAAACTAGCAGCCTAATACGAGTTTATCGTAATAGACATTCACCTAATAAACGACCATTGCATTAAATATCCAATTTACTCATTCTTTGCGATTTCCATTTTGTTATAAACATTCCAGCCCAAATTATACCCTTTTAAGAACAATAACAACAAAAAAAGGACGAAACCTTTAACCTGCCAGGAACCCATGCCCACCAACTACCCATATTTTTCAACCTACTACCTTTTATTTTACTTGTAAAGTAGCACGGAGATATTTGGTTTTCATTCTAGAAAACACTCGAGAAAAGAGTATTATTATTATTATTTGTAATTAAGCACAAAGCTACACAATGGGCTATCTGTGCTCTACCCACCACGGGAGAGGCCAAAAACTATGCATACGTTATTTAAAATAGTAAGAAAAGTTTATTGGAAATCTATTCTTAATGTACTTGTCTTCATAACTTTACTTTTATTTTTATTTCACCCGAAAAGCATCGATATTGCCAATGTCAACTCCTTACTTAAATCCACTTTAGTTCCTCTTATCCGTGAACAGTGTTCAAAACAACCAGTCTAGAAAGAGCGCCATCATAAGAATAACAAAAGAGCCAATGGCATAACATGGAACAATCTTGAGTTTTTTTTTATAACTGCAATGAATAAGAAAAAGCGTTTTTTTTATGTGTGTAAGTAAAATATCCATATGATTTTAAATATACTCAATTTACATGTATAAGTAGCTATTAAATAAATTTATAATACTCTTTGAATAGGTAAATAATGAGATATATTTTATTAAGATTTAGTGCAGTATAATTCCTTTGCTACCAGAAAAAATAAATAAAACTTTTCTGCTCTGATACACTTACGTCCGCTTTGAAAAAAAAAAAATTATGGCCCGGCATGGCCAAGTGGTTAGGGCGCTTGACTTCCACTCTGAGGGTCGCGAGTTCAAATCCCCTCCTCGCCAAACATGCTCGTCCTTTCAGCTGTGGAGGCGTTATTATGTGACGGTCAATCCCAGTACTCGTTGGTAAAAGAGTAGCCCAAGAGTTGGTGGTGATGATTTCCCTATAGTTTTTCACTGCTAAATTAGGAACGGCTAGCGCAGATAGTCCTCGTGTAGCTTTGCGCGAACTTCAAACAACAAATATATTTTACATGTCATTAATTGAATATACATTCAGTTATCATTTCACCTTGATGTTTCAGTTTGTCAAATACTTCTGTACATTAGCAACATTAATACTAAAACAATGGCGGGCAACATTCTATATTGTGATACGTCTAAGAAAAATAAAGCGCGCGAAAACATATGAACATTGAAACAATTTACTGAAAGTCGTCTTTTTTTTAACTAGATACTAAAAGTTAAGATGTCTGAACTCTTCCAAGTTTCATGAAGATTTGCTTTCAAATTAGAGTTAAGAACATTATAATGTTTTTATCTTATTTTTCTTTAAACTCAGCAATAGAAGCTTATAATAGATAGACGAACATATAAATAGCTCACATTTTATATCTTGTAGTCTGGATAATTTGAAAAAGTTGGAAATATGATAAAATTTGATAATTCGATGACGAAGAACCCACTTTGAGACTAATTATGGTTGGAGACCGCTTGAAAGATGACAAAACCTTGTCGAAACGCTGTATATTTGCTGATATGTTAAACTTATATTAAAGTTTTTCTTCATTCAGGCCGTCTCCAACCATTAAAATTTGATAATATTTTTATCTGATAAATGATATTCAAAATAATAATAATTTCAGTATGTGTGAGCTTTAAGTATTAGTTTTCTGTATGAAGAAAAAAAAACCATTAATGAATGATATTCAGCCTTTACATAATTTTCAGCAAACTTTTGTCCGGTTTTAAAAACACCTTTACCTTTAATGTAACATTATTTAAAATTGACATATCGATCTTTGCACATGTGGTTTCAGTCGTTGTTATCGAAAGTTTGTTAAATCAGATAATAATTTTGTAAACATTATAACGTTTATTTTAATGTTTAAAACGAGAAATAAAACTAAGTTCGAACAATAAGTTTACTTTTCGAGTTATTTCCTGTTTTAGAAACTGGTGTAAACCTGCAATAAAACAAAACTTCGGAGTCTCTTGACATTTTTAACTATCTTATATCCTTACACATAAGGATGTCATACACAAATTTATAGATAGAATTTCTGAAAATTTTACAAGAGACTTGTCCTGGTTTGAATTTCAGCTAATTTTTCATAACATAATAACTTACTACTTTTCAAAGAAATACACACTTCAGAATTTCTGACGGGGAATATTTTAATATTCTTTATGAGAAAAAGTTAAGCTGAAATATCATCATTTTGCTGAGTTTTGACAGGCTGCTATAATAATCAATGTGCTAGGTTATCAAGATTGGCTTGTCAAAAACGTAATCAGCATGATCGAATACTGAAAAAAAAAGAATGGCGTTAATTGTTATGGGAAGATCAATCATCATCGCTTACTGATTTAGGGATATTCTATATATAATGATTTGTACTGTTTTGTTTTTGTGCACAAATGACAAGCAGGATGTGATATAATAAAGAGGATATAGTAGATGATTTGTCTAGGATTTATATGTAGAATCAGAAAAAAGTGAATGGAGTTTGAAATGTATTCAAAGAACAGCAGTGGCTAAGGATACATTCCTTTGGGATGAATTAAGAGCAAAAGAACTGACAACAAGTTATTGAACATGTATTTGTTGAAATCATTTTAGCAAAAACCCATTGTTTCGCAAAATTATTTGTATTATAAAATTTATTAACTTTCCTCTTCGTCTCAAACTGAAAATGTTCTTGAAACCGCTTTTAAAAGATAGTAATGATAGCACATAATGGAGAATCTAACTGATGGAATTATACATGATCAGATAATCAATATTTATAAATATGTCAGTGAATATTAAATTACTAATTGGTATTATTATTCGTATCTAATTATTTATCAACAGGAAAAGACAAATTAAAACTTTTTTGTTTTAAATTTTTGTGTGTGTATCTTATAGAAGAAAAGAGAACGTGCTTGCTAGAAGACAATAAAAATAAACTTAGCGTAGATGATGAACGGTGAACAAAATGTTTCTGACCACTCTGGATTGTTTTTCTGGCACCACAATATAATTAGGTTAGAAAGATCTTTTAAAACCTAAATTCCTGCTACGGATTTTGATTCTTTGTTTAAAGTTAAGTAGAAAGCTACACAATGGGTTATCTGTGCTCTACCCACCAAGGATTTTAAATGTGATGGAGAGTATGATGTTGCTGATGGCCTCTTTTCTTCTGGTCTGTAGTTCAGAGTTATGGACAAAGGCAGTAGTCTTAGTAACTTTGCCATAAGTACAAAATACAAATACCTAATGACAGCAATTATTGGTAATAACGTTATTCTAAATCTTATGAGATACCATATTTAAATAAATTTTCAAGTATTCATTTCTTTATGTTTATGGAAACTGGACCAATTCGGAGTCAATATATATATTAAAGGCATGAAAAAAGTATTTATTTATTTTAACTTAGTTCATATTAATTTAATTTAACACAACAGTTCGGTTTAAGGCTACCAATATATAATATTACATAAGTTATATACATTAAGAGACCACACTCGTACACCATTGGACTCCGGAGATCTAATCTATAAAACTGTTAACACCAAGACAAGGTTAAACAGCTATCTAGATTGTATTTAAAAAATTATTTAGGCACACATGCCTTATATTCGCAACGGACAGTAACAAAACACGTTACTACTATCTCTTTCTGTGTGCTTCTCTATATAGAGCTTATAATTGGTCTATTTAGTTAGATATATTACACATAGAGATATCAGTCAAGGGTGGCCAAACGTTACTATACAGTGGAGTAACTTAGGAAACAATGAGAGAGTTACAGTTTTTTTTTTCGCCATCTCTGTGTATAGGTACTCGGTATACGCATTTAAAAGTGTACAGCTGTAGACAATTCAAATAAAATTAGGTTTTTAACGAAATGTAAAAGTATTCTATTTTCTAAAGATATAGTTGGTTTCATAGCTTCCCGAAAATAGTGATTGTTCTACCACACGTAATACATATTAAATATTTAAAGATGAACTTGCTAAAAAAACTGAGCCATGATAAAAAAAGGACAGAATACTAGGAAGAAAAATATTTTCATTTCTAAAAACATAAATCGACAGTTTTTTTTTTCGTAACAGTAGATGAATAATTTTATTGATATCAAAAATTAAAAATTACCTTCTGCTTATTTCGAAGAATGTTTGCGTCTCGTTGTCCTTGAGCATTGCCCGGAGTCTGATTTTGCCTTAGTCGTATGCCCATCCGAATGTAAGCGTAACTGATTATAAATAAAGGCACAAAGTATTGAAGGGAGACCAGAATGTGGTTGTACGTTCTCCAAGCTAAAGGTGAGATTCCAGAATTTTGGCAGAAGGGTTTAGTTTTGTTCCCAGTGGCGGGGTCATCTAATAGACTTACACGAAGAGCCACAGCATTGGGAACCCCAAGAGCTGCAGAAAAAGCCCAGATACCGAGTACGGAGAGCTTAGCCCTTAGTTTGGAAGTGCGGGCTTTCAGCGGAGACATGACTGCCCGGTAGCGGTCAAGGGCGATGGCTGTCAGAGTGAAAATACTCACGTTGACTGACAGAACCTGAACAAACGGACAGAAGGCGCACATAAAGTTGGGTAAAACCCAGCGCTGAAGTAGAGCAGCTTGAAACTGAAACGGGATAGAGAAAAGACCGATAATGATATCAGCACAGGCTAAATTTGCGATGAAAAAGTTGGTGACCGTCTGCATCCGGCGGCTTGTGGCGACAATCCACAGGACACAGAAGTTACCAATCACGGCTACGAGAGATATTGACCCGTAACAAATGGACAACAGGATAATTATACCAACTGGGACCTCATACAGATTATCTTCTCGGTGAGTAAGGTTACTAGCCTTACTGGTGCTTCTCTCATCGTCTGAATAATTGAGAAAATTTTCGGTTTGGCGATTAAATGGATAAAAATTTTCCATAGCCAAATAAAAAAAATACAATTCGGGTCAGAAACTTCAATACTATCTTGAGGAGCTCAAGACTAGTTTAACAATGTTTGTATGGTTTTACTCAGGTCGAGTGAAGAAACAATAACATGAACCGATAAGAGCGACTCACTATACTGTATTGACTAATACAGTAAAACTCGCACCGCCGCTGTGACAGAAACGTTACGTCACTATTGCAATAACCATCCTCATACCCATACAGGTTACGTTGTTTAAAATACACGTAGAAAACCCTTGTAACTGTAAATACACAAACCAATGTACAAACAAATATATTGAAGTAATAAAATGCTTGGAAATATATATTAATTGATGAGGTATCGTCGATACATTTTGATACAGTAAATATACGTGCCCTAATTCTATGAATTAATAAACGTTTAAACTCATTCTAATTTCCAAATGACTTTCACATTTCGAACTTTAAATATTCTTTGAAATATGACAAAACTAGTCGAAGTTCATAAATTCTGATGAAAATGGGCTGCATTAAAATATAAAAACTGTGGCAATTCTATGGTAAAGTATTTCGGAATACTTTGGTTTACCTAAGTGTGATGTATTATATGGATATCGTAAAGGTATGCAATGCACACTATCAAAAATAGAGCTTCTGATTAGGAATTATAAAAATGTTAAATTTCCACCAGACGGCAACATAGAACAGAATCTATAAACGAACATCCCCATTGTAATTCGAGATTATAAATGCCTGTCGTATCTAAAATGTATGATATTGACTTCATTACTATAAATAGAACAAGAAGAAGAAAAACTGTTTAAACAGTTTGTTTTCTCTATCAATAAATGGCGTAAAAATTGGAGATTAATTACCCGATCAAGTTTTACTCAAATCCGTTTTATTTGATAACAGTTTGGACTCCATATACAGACTTGGAATATTTATATATTTATAAAAACAAGGAAAATACTACTAGAATGTGAATTAGACCACAAAGGTATTATAAGTCAGAGTACAATAACTAATTAAAACTACTGTCTAAGAGCGACAAAAACAGTCATTTTGCAGAACAAAGTTCCTTTAGGTGCTTAGAATTATTAAATTATTGGTGCTTATGGTAAATGTTTAGATTAACACGGCTAAACACTTTAAATATATTTTAATTTAATCAAAAATTTTTTTAATGTAAATGCTGAACAACAGAATTTGGGTTGTTTAAGCTTTACGAACCCCAATTTATAGCGCACAAATCCTCAAGCTTTCCAATGAACCACTGGGAAGTAACAGTATTTACAAAATACTGGGGAATTTTCATGGTACACTGATTCAAATTTATGAAACTGTTATTTTGCATATTATGCTAAACCTCAAAAATCAAGATATCATGCTCACGTCATGAAGCCTTGAAGGAAAGTAATCTTCGTGAAAGCGTTGAAAAATTTAAACTGCCAAATGTATACTGCATATTCTTCGTGAAAGCATTGAAAAATCAATACTCCCAAAATTCCTATTGCATATTCTCTTAAAAAGCAATAAGTTTTCCGATATTGGTGCATACCAGCATGTTTTGTGTTTGTGTATGCGTGTGTGATATGTCGTAAATATAAGCTTTAAAACGACACACATTTGCCCCCCAGTGGCACAGCGGTATGTCTGCGGACTTACAACGCTAGAATCCGGGTTTCGATACTCGTGGTGGGTAGAGCACAGATAGCCCATTGTGTAGCTTTGTGCTTAATTACAAACAAACAGACACACATTTATTACACTTCTCCTGAGTTTCAAGAAAAACGTTTAATAACAAATTACAACGTTTACCATTACAACACAAGCTAACTTTGATGGTACTACTCTTTTGATTTTTCTTCTTGTCTCACACTTTTCAATTATCGAAGATAAATGTAGTTTCGTTTTGAGTTTACTTACTGATTATAAGTATAATTTTATTATAATTTACAGCTTGCAGCTTCCGTACTGTAAAAGTTGTAACTTGTAATAAAATAATAAATAATATAAGCCTTTAGCTATCATAGCAGTGGTATAAACATGGCTGAATGAGGTTAATAAAACAATATATTTACGAGTATTAAATAGATTTTCCCATACTCAAAGAAAGCTAAATGGTTCAACTACGACTGAACAATCGTTACGGAGTAACTATTTCTCAGTGTGTTAGATGATACAAGACAAATGAGCACTTTGATGCATTGTTCTTATTCGTGGCGGTCTTGGCTCGTTCTGAAACGCTTAAGTATTTTACTCTTAGAAAGATAATAAATATGTTTATATGTTTATTGTTCAGCTTTGGTGAGTCCATTGCAAAGGTAAAACCCTGAACTTTAGTGTTATGAACCCCAGTTTAGAGCTGAGTCGTCGATGGGGGTGGGGTGGGTGGGTTTTAGATTGGTGATCTAAAAATGATTAATTAGATCTAATGAAAGAAACTTATTCATAAAACTGTGTATTGACTTATATGAAGCTATTTGTACGAGAAATATTAACATCTGACACCGGTCTCTAGCAAACGATGATATACATGTATCTAACTTGTAGTTTTGATAACACCGTTGTTATCCATTACAGATAATCTAAAACAAGTTACTAAACCATGACTTAAGCTTGAGTCAGAGAGAGCAAGTTATCATGTTATATGTGTATTATTTTTTCTTTAATTACAAAAAACTACATTGCAAAATACTGAGCATATACTCCAAATGTATTTCCATGAATCGTAAAGAAATAATCAGGAGTAATATATTTTTTTGTGAATAAAATGTTGTAGCTGTTTGAGTGAGATTTTCTTGCGCAGTAAAACCTAATGATAATTTCATATATCTATTGACCTTATTTTTCTTTCATATAGTCGTATATGTTATATTAGTTTAAATCTAACAACTCTCACACATAAATGAAAAAAAAAACAAAAATGGTAAAGCCAACCTTTGAATTGAGAATTAGATTTCTTACAGTCCTACATATAAATGTTGTTGTTAATTTTGTTAATATTATGTTTAAACGTACGAGGTTATCACGACAACGTCTTGCAGCTTGTTTTTGTTACTAAGCACAAAGTACACAATGGGCTATTAGTGATGTGTCCATTGCGAGTATCAAAACCCGATTTTTAGCATTATAAATGTTGTGTATACACTTCTACTGTAGTAATATCATATTATCATAACTATATAAAAAGACAATAGATATCACATATATTACGCCCACGAGGGTTATCTGCACTAGCCGTCCCTAATTTAGCAGTGTAAGACTAGAGGGAAGGCAGCTAGTCATCACCACCCACCACCAACTCTTGGGCTACTCTTTTACCAACGAATAGTGGGATTGACCGTCACATTATAACGCCCCCACGGCTGAAAGGGAGAATATGTTTGGTGGGACGGGGATTCGAACCCGCAGATTGCGAGTCGAGCGCCCTCACCACCTGGCCGTGCCGGACAGTAACGTAAAAAAAAAATCCAACTTAAAGCATTATATATAAACTTTAATAAAAATTAAGATAAAAATTAGCGATATGAGAAGAAAATTGAGTAATTAAGTTCATCCAAGTAACGCTGAGAGTATTTTTTAACGGAATATTGATCTGGATAAGGAATGGCTTTCATTTGTTTTTCTCACCTTCTAGAATTCGGAGGGAATATTCCACTTTTTCAGTTTTATTATGCTGTTTACATAACTAATTAACCATTATGGGGGCTAGAATGATATTTTCAGTTTCACTTCTCAACTCAATGGTCTATCGTAAAAATATTTTATCTAATTATTATTGTTTCTTTATTGCTTCGAAAATGTTATTATATTTCATTAAAATCAACTACTTTTACTCAACTAAGAATGGAAAATAGATGGTAGTTTTACACGAGGGACGTTGTGTGAAAGAGCGTCCATGTAATTCTTAATATGTTTCTAAATGTGAGGTTTAAGAGAATGAATTTGGTTTGTCGTTTATGTATAGCTACCGCTGCATGGGTCCTACTTTATCAGATAGCTCTCTTGCTAAGGTACATTCCACAGTTGTTAGATTATAGTTTATACATTAATTTCATTTTTCTGTCTGTTATGTATGTTCGATTTTAGTTTGGGGCGTCAACTCTGCTGTTAAAGAGAACAAATGGAAGGAAGGTGTGCGTAAATTGATTGTATCGAGTTGAAGTGAGAATGAAGCTCGTGGTGTAGAAATTACCATATTGACTTTCTAAGAACCTTCATTTCATTACTTGTTTGAACTTTCTACTAACAATAACTTCGTAATGACAACTTTATACAACTTACTCTAATTTTTTCATTCACCAAATATTTTGAATAGTAGTGGATCTATGTACGTAAGTCATCCTAATTCAATCTATACAGAATCAACATTCAACGAAAACTAGTAAGCTTTCAAAATCGGTTGTGGCTATATTAATTATAACTAAAGATAAATTAAATTAAAAACGAATACTAATTTGTATTTGTTCAACAAATAACAACATATAACACCTCAAAATATTTAGATTTTTTATCCTAAGAATAGTAAGTTTTTTATACACCTGTACTATATTGAGACATTATTTTTGTAAATCAGTAACTTAGATAAACTTAGTAATGAATGCACAACAATCATAAATATTTGGCGATGTAACGGGAAAATGTGATCATTATTAGATTTACAGTCGAATTACATCATAAAACTTCTCACGTATTCAGCAGGTGTTGCAGTATCATTCAACAGGAAATAGTTTGATCCGAAACGTCAGTAGTGGAAGGTGATTTATGATTTTTCAGACTTAATGATGGGGAAAATATACACGTTGGCTGAATCACCACATAGTTTGTAGCACTTAGGCTCAAATATATTTGTTAACTTTGGGTAGAAATATTTACTTGTAATTTTGCCCAGTGTAATGAACTTACTATAATAGTTTCTTACTGTCAGTGTTTTCCATGCTTCTTCCTTTTACAAAGATCTGCTCCGCTTTGATTCAGGTTATAAAAATCATGTTTTGTTTCGAAT